TCTGCCTCTGATGCAGAGCCCTCATTCGGGCCTTCCCCAGCCTCCAGGACTGGCCCATGTTCTTCCTCAGCCTCCTCACTGTCCGACTCCGCTGCCAGCTCCGCAGGCTGCTGGTGGATCACAACAATAGCTTGACTCCCTCTTCTTTGTGGCAGCCCCTGAGATATTGGAACATTGCTATTATGTCACCCTTGGTCCTTCTTTTCATCAAACTAGACATACCCAGTTCCTGCAAACGTTCATCCAGTGGTGGGTTGCCCCTGGTTTGCACCAGTTCTATAGAACCGGTAGTAAAATCGGCGGGAGGCTCCACCCACCGACCCCAACATCATCAAAATGCTTCTGTGCATGTGCAGAAGAGCGTGCGCAAAGCGAGCACGTGAGCGCGGCCCCGTTGTGAACTGGTAGTAAAGGTTCTACTTATCCTGCGTTCATCGTATGTTTTAGCCTCCAGTCTCCTAATCATCCTGGTTGCTCTACTCTGCACTCTTTCAACATCTTTTTTATCTGGCGACCAAAACTGGATGCAGTATTCCAAATGTGGCCTTAGCAAGGCATTCTTGTCACATATTAATACTTCTAAGCTCCATCCTGAATTCACACTTACTGTAGTTTTAAAAATGAAATAAATCTATTGACAGATTATTCATAAATTGTTTTATATTTTATTTTTCATTTAACATATTTTGCATTAATATTTTGCTCTGTCATTTATTTTAATATTGTATTCCGATATATATTTCATCTACCAATAATTATTATCCTTTTAAATATTCATTAATTCATCAATAGCGGAGTTATAATTCATGAATTTTGTTACAATCTGGCTAGGTAATATTAAGAGTTGAAGTCCACACATTTTCAGGTTGCCAAGGCAAGAGAAACACTGCTGTACAGTAGTTGAATAGAAATCCCACTTGTTTTCTCACTAGTAAATAGGGCTTGTTTTTTAGATAATTCTTTAAGAAATTTTATAGCACACTACTATCTATGTCTACTCAGAACTAGCTCACTTAATCATAGTTGGCTCTTTTAATCATAGTTCACTGAATTAATCCAGTTGATTGAGCTTCAGAGTATCCATATTTTATCTTAGAGTATCCTATGACCTCAGATTGCGACTTAGTTCCCAGAAATTATTATAAGATTGTGGCTTCAATACCTAATGCAAATATGGAGTACATGGGCTGAAAAATTGCCCATTTATGCCTTAATTTACATAAGACAAAATACAAGCCAGGAATAATAAACATGAGTTGATATACTAGGGGTCTAAAGATCTGCCAAAAACAACTACTGAATAATCTAGGTTGGAAAACCAATGAGTCTTAATTGCTTCACTGTTTTTTTCTGAAACAAATGTTCAAAAAAAAAAAAAAAAGCCTGAGAAAAACTAAATGAAATGTATAATTATAACAGCGAGTATATAATGTGACAACAGCTAAAGCTCGAGATACCTGCAATTACAGGGTGATGAAAACAAAGCAGATGGTCGCAGAGAGTAGAATGAAAGAGTTGCTATATTTAGAGAAAGCCTGGTGAATTAATTGGAGGGGGTGTTATAACTGAATCAGCAAAGATATAGTTGCCAACAGTTGAGATCACGCTGCTAGTTGACTGCATGGATGAAAAGCCATGTTAGACTTTGCAAATTACTGTGGTATGGCTGCAGAGGAGTACATAAATTGGATCTTTCCTCATATCTGTTATCAAACTCCTTGCTATTCATATCTCTTGAGATAACAAGTTACTGCTAGCCACCTCTGGAGGGTGACTAGCCTAGGTCCTTGAATTCTTAGTCTAGAACAGTGTTTCTCAAATGTGGTAACCTGAAGATGTGTGGACTTCAACTTTCAGAATTTCCCAGCCAGCAGGTATTCTTTTATTTGTGTGAATCTGGTCGTAGATCTGCATCGTTCTTGGTTGAATGCAACTAGGTAGAGTTGACTCAGTCTGTGTTTCTGAATGCAGGAAAGTAAACATTAGTTATCTTTCATAAATAGCATCTTGGGTATTATTGAGCCTGTGGAGAGGTGACAGACACCAAGGCTGCCTTAACAGATGGGCCTGATGGGCACTTGTCCATGGGCCCCACTAACATAGGGGCCCCATACTAATCTGTTAACCTATGTTAACTCTTCAATGCACCTTGTATCATATAAATACAGCAACGTATTTATTACATTTTACTGCATTTTTTATTAATACTAACATGCAAATATATGTTTATTGGCACCATTTACATTTGTTATTCCTGTGACTGGTTGTCGAAGAGGCCCCAGTACATTGCTTTGCCTGGGGCCCATAATGCTTTTAAGAGGGCCCTGAGAGACACCACTTAGCTAGGTGGAGAGTGGAGAGTTCACAGTAGGTTTGATTGAAGGAGGTTTTCAATAGGGGTTAAGAAAATAATCTCCTGGAGACCCAATGGGTGGAAATTTCCTCTAGGGCCGTGTTTCTCACCTTCAGCAATAAGATGTGTGGACTTCCAACACCCAGAAATCATCTTAAAATTGCTAAGGTTGAGAAAAACCACCCTAGGGTACAGTTTCTCAAACTCAGGACTAGCCTCTGTGTACAAAACAGGGTTCTCCATCAAGACCACATCAGGAGCAAATTATGTAAACACAGCTCTGATGGGTTGGGCTGTTAAAACAAAGCAAGGTTATGGCATACAACTGAAAGGAGACCTGGAAGCCTGTAATTGTAGAGTCTGTCTGGCAAGAACAAAGAATGCTTATTCACAGAGAATATGCACATGTAATACTTGTAGCAATTCTAGGTGGTTAGAGGACTGATAACAGATATCTTGCATAGCTCAGCTAAAAGTTAGGAACAAATAGAGGCTTGGAGCAAATAGAATGTGTATTAGATAACTCATTAGCCAAGGCTTAGGAAGAGAGACGGCTAGAGACCAATAGAATAAATTGTTAGATCATTACTAAAATGTTTATTAGATGATATTTATTATTATCCCACCTTCTGCTTTAGTGAAATTGGATAAAGCTTTCTTAATCCTTGGTTCTGGGCTCTTGGCATTTTGGATCCCTTTTCTTGGAGCACTTCAATAAAAGGAAACAAAACCTGCACCTCATGTTTGGCGTCCTTCATCAGACTCAGACCTGAATTGGGGACAACAGCTCTAAGCCACAAACTAATCAACCATACTTTAACTTTGTAAGTGCTCCAAAGAACCTAAATTAAAAAAGCTATTGTGAAGTCGAAAGGAATAAAGGCTACATAATCATTAGGTTAATATAAATCCCAGGATTGCTAGTGCTTATTATCACATTAGAGCAGTGGTAGGTTGCTCCCGGTTCTATAGAACCAGTAGCAAAAATGGCTGGAGGCTCCGCCCACCCGCCTGGATGTCATAATTGACGATCTGCATGTGCACAGAAACTTCTGCCCATATGCAGAAGCGCACATGCGCAAAGCCAGCACACGCGCATGCTCCTGATACGAACCGGTAATGAAGGTAAGTAGAATCCATCCCTCCATCAGAGGCATATTGATACATATTGAACATGTATTTTTGTAAACAAATGATGCCATTTTGTTGTTCTGAGACCCCAACTGATTTGGAGAAAACGGTAGATTGCATGATGCAGTGAGAATTACGAACCTGCAAATTTATCTAGCAGCGAGCAAGATTTGACAGGGAAAATGGAACGAATAAATGGAAGCAATATATAATCAGCAAAAAAAAAAAAAAGCTCGAGTAAACGGAGATTAACCTGTACAATTTGGTAGTATACTGAAATGGTGAAATGGAGACATTTTAAGACATGCAAATGCTGATGGAAAGGCAGGCAGTAAAATATAGTCTGTGGAAAGGAATGAGTAATGGTCAAAAGAAACCAGAAGGCCTGTGTATGTGCTTGTGTTTCATGTAACTGAGAAATGGATGTTATCAGGAGAAAAGGAAAAGAAAGATGAATGCAGTGGGATGGAGGGGGCTTCAAGGTGTGGCAAAACAAGCAATTAATGTCCAGAATTAACGTGGATAGAGTATAGACATGAGGAACTGGTATAAAGAAGCCTGTGAAGGCAATTTGGTCATAAAAGGAATGAAGTTGGGTTACAAAGCAGATGAAGGAAGCAGTGATTGGTTGGAATTAAAGAACTTTTCAAAAATGCTGCTCTATAATGCCTTAGTAAGACCACACCTAGAATACTGCATCCAGGTTTGGTCACCACACTATAAAAAAGATGTTGAAGACTCTAGAAAGACGGTAGAGAAAAGCAACCAAGATGATTAGGAGACTGGAGGCTGAAACATACCATGAATGGTTGCAGGAACTGGGCAAGACTAATCTAGTGAAGAGAAGGACCAGGGGAGACATGACAGCAGTGTTCCAATATTTGAGGAGCTGCCAGAGAGGAGGGAGTCAAGCTATTTTCCAAAGCACCAGACAAGGAATAATGGATGGAAACTGAACAAGGAGAGATTCAACCTGGAAATAAGAGGTTGAAGAGAAATAAGAGAAATTTTCTGACAGTGAGAACAATCAACCAATGGAACAGCTTGCCTCCAGAAGTTGTGGGAGCTTCATCACTGGAAGCTTTCAAGAAAAGACGAGACTGCCATCTGTCAGAAATGGTGTGTGTGGGGGGGTTGGACTGGATGACCTACAAGGCCCCTTCCAATTCTGTTGATCTGTTAAAAAAAGGAGAAAAGTTTAAATAACAGGAGGCGTTATACGAAGGCAACCCTGATATTAACGCAGCAGCGTTTTTCTGAATATAATTCATCGATTGCACAGAGGCTGCTGAATCCGTGTTTACATTTACACCCACTAAAGATGCACCCCGATGTATTGTTAATAGAGCGCGCGACCTCTATTTTCTTAAAGCCGAAAGAGCGATACCGCCTGAGGCGGAGTGGGGGCGCTGTGGTTTTAGGCAGCGTCCGTCATCTACCTATCGGTCGTTCCTCTCCCATCACCAACAACCTTTCCTCCGGAGCTACTGGCGAGGCGAGGCTTCCGCCCGGACTGTCCACGTGCTGCTTGGAAGAAGGCGCCGAGCACGAATTCCCGGGAGGCGCCTCCTTGCTGCCCCTCCGCTCGCATGTCTTTGCCGACCTCGGCCGTGAAGTTCCGCAGGATCTTGGCTCACTTCCCTCAAGAGCTCAGCTTAGCCTTCGCTTATGGCTCTGGGGTCTTCCAACAAGCGGGGTCTTCTACCGCTGCAACGGAGGTGAGCCGGGGCGGGGGGTCTAAAGCAGGGCTCTCCAACCTTGGGAACTTTAAGCCTGGCGGACTTCAACTCCCAGAATTCCCCAGCCAGCTTTGCTGGCTGGGGAATTCTGGGAGTTGAAGTCCGCCAGGCTTAAAGTTCCCAAGGTTGGAAACCCCTAGTCTAAAGCCCTTATGCCCATCCATCACCACTGAGCTATTTTGCCCATCATGATAGACCTATTCGTTTCAAGCTCTTTATATACCCTTGGAAAGAGGAGGAGACCTGTTTCTTAAACATGAATTAGATAACGCTTGAATGAGTGCTAGAGTACTTCCTGAAAGATGGCCAATCCTGTGTTACGCAGGAGGTTGACTTAAATTGGGAAAGATTAAATTTGAGTTCTATCCCCAGCGAGCATGTTACAGGTTTTCTAACATTGAGCTTCCCGGCACATCATTTTTATTTTTTACTGATTTAGCCTACTCCTAGATCTTGCCTAGTTACAAAGCTTCCAGTGATTGCTGTCTGGAACACCTGTCCACTGCATTAATCAGAAGTTTCCTCAGTTTTTTTAATATATATATACAATAGTCTTAGCCCATTGTAGCTGAAGATGGCAACTATTCATGATTTTCTAGATTTATGGAAGAAGTTACATATATAATGCATTGAATTGGGTTTCTTGTTCTAATCTTCCTCAAAGGGGAAAGGGAGTAAGGCTTAGGGTTCCTGCAAACTATTTTACTTGCTCTGTTAATCTGACAACCTAATGACAAACGTCTTTCCAGCCTCACACCGGAAAATAGCGATGTCCAAGTAACATTCTCCTTCATGTCTCACACACTTCTTTGGATAAGTTAAAAATGAGATGGGTGCTAAAGATCCCAATGCTAGCAGATGAATTGTGGATTTTGTCAACTAGAGAAGTCAGTGTTCTTCTTTTCCTTTGCAGAACAATATGCTGGATTTTGTATTTGCAGTTGATGATTCTACAACATGGCATGCAATGAACCTGTCAAAAAACCGGAGTCATTATTCCTGCCTAAAATATTTTGGAACCAGGTCAATATGCAACATCCAAAACTATGGAGCAGGGATTTACTACAATACATTGGTGCCTTGTAATGGTAGGGTAAGTCATGTATACACCTTAAGAAAAATGCAAAATTATTTCTAATTCGTCTGATTTTTATCTTCTTCTCCAGTTTGTAATGCTATTAGAAGGCAATATATTCACTGAAAATTAAATTCATTGTACTTTAAAATTGATCATTTTTAGAGTTATTCTTTTTATTAATATTTTATTAATGAAATGTTTATTCTAATTAATCTTTTAATGAATGCATTCTTTTTTAACTTACTGAGGGTTTCAAAACCCAGTCATAGGAACATAGCAACATTCTAAGGAAGTTTTACAGAATGGGAAGAGAAAAAAAAACTCAGTTTCTGGGGGAATAAGAAGAAATTGCCAGCTTAGTCAAAAATTCCTGAGAAAAATGGTTCCTGCTATGTGTTGCTTTTCAGGAAAATGACCTGCAAAGTTAGATAAAAACCTGATTTTCTTAAAAAGGTCAGAATAATAAGACTTCTGGCATTTTTAGCTTTTCAGTGTTTGACTTAAACTTATCTCAAAATTACATTTGTCTGACTTAGCTTTCTTTTCTTCCAGGTTATAAAATATGGTGTCATAAGTACTGATGCTTTAATTGAAGATTTGCTGCGATGGAAGACACTCTATGTAGCTGGACGTCTACAAAAGCCGGTACTACTTCTGCTTATTTGTTTAAAATTACAAATGAATAAAATATGGTAGATAGCACTGACTGTAATAATAGGGAAATTGACTGATAGTAATATGGTGAAAATAAGTGATGGCTGTGAGTCATAACAGTATTGTCTAGACCAGGGCTGTCATGCGCTGGCCATGCCCACACCTGGTTTAGCGAAGGGGGAAAAAGTTCTGATATGTCACATGACGTCCACCATGATGCTGCGAGTTTGACACCCCTGGTCTAGGCTACTCACATTTTAAAGTATCTGATGTTTAAGTTGCTATTACATTTTATCTAAAGGCCTTACATCAGGGCTGTCAAACTCCCGGCCTGCGAGCCAGATGCGTCATACGCTGGCCATGGCCATGCTTGGTTTAGCAAAAGAAAAAAGTCCCAATATGTCACGTGACTACGAGAGTTTGACATCCCTGCCTGCCCCTGATTTGTTTTTATTTAAAATGAAGGATTAACTTGTCCTCTGTTGTTTTGAAGAGATGGCTACACAATCCCATTTTGCATTTTTTTTAAAATTTGATTTATATGCCGCCCTTCTCTGGAGACTCAGGGCGGCTTACAATGCATTAAGCAATAGCCTTCATACTTTTGTATATTTATACAAAGTCAGCTTATTGCCCCCACAATCTGGGTCCTCATTTCACCTTCCTTAGAAAGGACGGAAGGCTGAGTCAACCTTGAGCCTGGTGAGATTTGAACTTGCGGTAATTGCAGGCAGCAGATGTAAATGGATGTTAATTAGTCTGCTGAGCCACCAGAGCTCTCTCGCCCCCCCAGCCCCCAGCCCCCAAAACTGCTTGTGAAAACCCTGCATTCATTAAGCATTCCTTAAAGGAGTCTGAAAATGTTGCAGGTTTGTTTCCAGACCAAATGGGGAGGGTGTATTGGCATGGTTTCAAAACAAGAGTGTTCAGTTCATGCCCATGGTTTTATTCTAAGTTCTTTGATAATTGAGCAAGTTACCCAGTGTGCTGGGGTGGGGGCTAAGCAACAGATGCATTTTGGAACTGGAGACAACACAGGTTTTTTTTCAGAAGCACTGACTAGCTCCATTGCAATAGAAGGCAGGCTATTGTTATTTGCTTCATGCTAAGTCAAGGTAAACGGCATGAGACAATTGCAATATCTCTAACAACTGTATACCAACAATGCAATCCCTGACTCCAGAAGAAGCGTGTGATAGGGTGTTATGAATTGTTGATAGAAGTGTTATCTCTTCATAACTTGCAATGGTTGTGTTAGAATATGTGGCTATAGCTCACTGTACTGAAATATATTCTATTTAAACATTTTATATATCTTATATAAAGTTGATGATAGTAGATACAACAGAATTCAACTTAGGTGCCCATCAGAATAAAGGGAGTGGGGGGTGGGGAGACAAATTTGTTACTTATTCTGATTGGCCACAAGATGGAAGCAGTGTTAAGATTTAAGAAAAAGACAAAATAACCAATTTGGTTTACGATACATTTAGTAATAATTTAATAGTAACATTGATATGGAGAGAGGCATCCATTTGGAGTTGAATCTTACTGTATTTTTCAGACTATAAAACGCACCTGACTATAAGATGCACCTAAATTTAGAAGAGAAAAACAACAACAACAAAAGTTTTTAGCCTCCCTTTTTTCATGCCTTTTCTAGTCTTTTTTCAGCCTGTTTTGGGGGCTTTTTTGGCCCATTTTCAAGGCTTTTTGCGGCCCATTTTTGGGGCTTTTGGGGGCTGTTTTTGAGGCTTTTTTCAGCCATTTCCGAGGTTATTTTCTGCCCGATTTTTCTGAAAAACGGGCTGAAAAAAGCCCTGAAAATGGGCCAAAGAAGGCCTGAAAAACGCCAAAAAAAGGCCCCAAAACAGGGCATGTGGAAATAAAAAAATGGCTGGTGAGTGGGCGGAGCTTCGGCAATATTCGGTCTATAAGAGGCATAGACATTTTTGCCCCCTTTTGGGAGACAAAAAAGTGTGCCTTATAGTTCGAAAAATATAGTAATTTGGACACCTCTGAATTTCTATCTGATTTGTGTTTATAGTGTAATTTTACCTGATGTCTAGCATTTTCTCACTATTACACAAAATTTTTCAAGGGCACTAAACTGGAAAAGAAAGGTTTTAAAAGCTTTGGAATATGTACCTTAATATCTGTTAAGACAGAATAAACCAGAAATTACATATTGGCCTTAGAAGAGGCTCTACAGTGTAGAGTGTTTACTCCTAATTGGTCATTGTGACATTCTTAAAAAACCTGAATGTTCATCTTTTCATGTGGGAACTAGATTAAACTGCAATCAGATGTAAGCAGCTTTTTCTGTTAAGTTCTTACAAGATTTTGCTTCAAATGCATTCAGTTCTTGCTAATTACTCCCTTGAAAACTTTTTTTGTCAAATGTTAGCTTTTAACATGCAAGGTGATTAGTGATTGGTGGTTCCATATAGCCATATCACAGTGTATGAAATATTTTGATTCATGAGAAAGTTGCACTGTATTAGCAAAATATGTTTTCATTTGTGTTCATTTAGCTTTTCTGTTAATATTTGCCAACTGTTTGAATAGGCACTTGTTCACTCAGGTAGAGATTGTACAAAGGTAGCATTTGCAATGAAACCAACAATACTTTATAACAAGTTTTATATAGAATTACTTTATTTTAACTATTTGAAACAGATGTACTAGAAGTAATGGTTGCCACATGGATATTTAGGATTTTCCTTTTTTCCTTTTGGAAAAATAATGCAAATACTATGTGGGTTTTTTTTGAGGTTTTGTCAATTTTTTCATCACTTGAATGTTAAGGCCTTCCTATTGGTAGGGGCTTTTTAAAACATTATTTTCTGATTAACAACAGATACAGATTTATATGCTATGTAAAGACAAGTCCTTTGTGACCCTGATTCTTAGCAACCACATAGCTAAGACCTTCTCCAGGAAGTCCCCAACCTGCGTTTTGATCTTCGGCAAGCTCTCTTTAGATTCCTCCATAGCAGCTTTTTAAATTTCATTCCATGGTTCATTGGTTCCCTATGTTCAGGATTTCAAAGCAATTCTTGATGTAATCATTGACAATAGTGGGTATATGCTGGAGATCATCTTGTGGAACTGGTTGGCTTTCATTTTCTGCATTAGCTTAACTTGGAACTTGCATATGAGGAGGTTGTAATTTGTTCCACAGTAGGCTCCTGACCTTGTCTTTGCTGTTATAGTTTATTTGGAGCAAAAGCTATAAACCCATATCTAAGAGGACTAATTCTTAAAGTAAAACTTCAGTTTGTACCAAAAGTTTATGATCTAACACCAGACTGGACCTCAAGTTAATTTATCCCTCCTACTACACAAAGTGCATATTGAAGCACATCAAGCATGGATCTGTGGAATTCAGATTATGTTTCCTTTTAAAGGATTTTTAAGTGCATATAGCAAGCTTGAAAGTCTTAATTGCAGGTGGAATAAATGCAGCACCGGTTACTGTATATACATCAAATGAATAATTGCTATTATGTTTCTTTGGCCATTCTCCCTCATCTCTATAGTTGTCTAGAAAGCCTTTACCCACTGAATAACATGGACACTGATCTGCTGTTATCTGACTTTCTAATCTGATTTGGCTTTTGAAGATAAACAAAACTTTTGTCCTTTTAGTAATTTATGGTGAGATTTTCTTTTTAGTATCAGTAGTAAAACTTCTTCAGCTCACTGCTATAGACTATACAATAACAATGTCACCCACATAAATTAATTCAGAATTGGGTCAATATACCAATCTTGGAGGAAGTAAACTGGGTTTAGAAAGAGTTTGGACCAGTGAGTTTATATAGAATTTAAAATAACTGTCCAATCATTGTCAAATAGCCTTTAAAATTGCATGTTAATTGGTTGTAGATAAATACCCTATAATTACATTATAGGGTATTTAATGAACCTTTAACTAAAGTACCTTTAGTTACTTTCATGGAATTGATAAATGTAAAAGAAGAGCCATCAATGGATACTTCCAGTTTCTCCCACAATCTGTCTCTGTCAACAAAGTCAGCAAAGAATGCCCCAGCAAGAGTTTTTTCAGACAGCTATAGGATTAAACTATAGTTTGATATGCCATAATGGTCTCCTGTTTCTCAGCCAGTACATTCTCCACATTCTTTCAGTCCTGCGGTTTCCTGCACAAGTGGTTTGAGTAGCTTTTACTGTTTCAGCCACACAGGTATAGGTAGCCTTCAACTTACAACCATTGTTTAGTGACTGTTTGAACTTACACTCTTTCAAGCATTGAAAGAGTGATTTATTACCATCTTTCACACGAATAGAATAGAATAGAATAGAATAGAATAGAATAGAATAGAATAGAATAGAATTCTTTATTGGCCAAGTGTGATTGGACACACAAGGAATTTGTCTTTGGTGCATACGCTCTCAGTTTACATAAAAAGATAAGATACACTTGTCAAGAATCACAAGGTACAACACCCGGTGACAGTCACATGGTACAATAAGCAATCAAATCATACTAGGAAACAATATCAATATAAATCGCAAGGATATAAGCATTATGATAATTGCAGAATCCCCCACGGTCGCATGAAACTTCGGGTTTTGGGCAAATGGCATATATTTATGCCAGGGTCAGGTGATCACCATTTGTAACCTTCCCATTTGTGAACTGATTAGTTAAAACACAATGCCTTTGCATTCTTCTCTTCAAATACCACTTTAGGCTTCCATTTCCCTCTTTGTTCTTGCAACAGTTTTAATATAAATGACTGTTCCTTGATGAACGTATCTTTTCTTTTATGTACACCGAGAGCGTATGCACCAAGACAAATTCCTTGTGTGTCCAATCACACTTGGCCAATAAAGAATTGTGTTCTGTTCTGTCCTGTTCTGTTCTGTCCTGTTCCAATGAGGACATTTTCATTAAGGCACAAGTTCCTATTGAAAACACATCAAAGTTTGGCTTAAGATGAATATATTGGTTTAAAACAGGGGTCTCCAAACTTGGCAACTTTAAGCTTTGTGAACTTCAACTCCTAGAATTTTGCAGCCAGCAGTTATTCATTGTTTCTTGTTTAGTTTTAAATGCTAATACAGAGCTCTGTAATTCATAGAGGTTCCAGATTTTTCTCTGGTACTCTTAGTGATTGTCAGAAATTGAACGTGGGACTTTGTGTACGGTTTTTCTTTTTTTAATATGAATTCCTGGAGGTTTCCTTAGGTAATCTGTTGTGCTTTTTGCACTCTCCTTTGTAACCATAGAAATTAATAAACCAATAGCATCTTAGATTAGAAATTGCAAATATTGTATTTGCATACATGTTCTGCTCCACCCTATCTTTCTTTCTTTCTAGCAGTATTTTGTTTTAAAAATACAGAAAGGGAATTTAATGGTACATGATTCTGGAGCTTCAAGGAACATTAAAGACCAAATGGGTAATATATACAATGGGTGAAAAAAATACTTATAGGCTTTGTAAGAAGTACTAACCACCATACCTTTTAAACCTGTCTTTTAGGGCTATATTTTGGAGTAATTTTGAGAATAAATTGGATTTGACTATGTTTCAGAACAAAGGGTTTAATGACTCAGCTCCATTGCCTCTCTTTAACCTTTATTTTGGAGGTTGAAAAGTCATTCATATTGGATGTTTTTCCTCCCAAACTCATTCCAAAGGTGTGGTTGTTTAGTTAGGAGAACACTGGCCACAGTTTAAGTTATAAACAAATAAAAATATGAAACAAATCATTCAAGCTTTTTCAAATACGGGCATATTCAGAAATTAAGCTAAACAGTATGAGACATTTGGTGCGTCTACATTTATTCTCTTTAAATGCAATTGTAGTCCAAGGCAAGTTCAAGGTCAGAGTGCTACCTTTCTTTATTCCTCCCACCCCCCACCCCCCACCTTAATGCAGTCCAGTGAATTTGCTTTCCTAGCAAGTAACACAGTTGTTCTCCATAACAGTTAATTTACGGTTTGGTCACTTGATTATTCAACGGGCTGTGTAATTTAGTCGTTGGAGACAGTTGGCAAAGCAGCTGGGTTCCACTGTAGTCCAAGATTGTTCTCTCAGCCTCTCGCAGTTCCACACGATGGTACTGATTTCCACCCCCCCTTGGGGAGGGGAATGCTTGTTTGCAAAATTAGGCTTTCAAAAACAGGCTGGAGAGCAAATTGAAAACATGTGTTCTAGGAGCCTCTCCCAGGACCAGTTTACCTTTAACAACTCAGATGGTTCAAATTTTATGTAACTAACAAAAACCACACTTCAGATGCAGGGAGAGATAATGGAAAAATAATGATATTGGATGCCCCACAGGTTCATTTTGAGTCTCCAGGGTTGCATTTAGACAGAGAAAGAGAGAGAGGGGTGTGTGTGTGTGTGTATCTTCAGTTGTGAGGTTCTGGATACAATCATGCGTCTGTCATGGAATTAGTGATGTATGTGTGCTTTCTGCATGTTTGCAAAACTGAACTCTTATCATAAAATACTGTTTTATTCAGTCAAGTTCCAGCTGTCTCCTTCACTCATCTTGTGGATTTTTTTTTTTCATTTGAGCAAATGGTGACCACGTTAGAGGCAATGCTTGTTCTTGCAACATATTGAGTCAGATCTAGTAAGAGAAGTCTTCTTCAATGAACACACATAGCAAGATTATACACATTTTTTTTCTGTTTGAAGCTGCCTCCGAAGATGTGTGTTAAAACAGAAATGGCAAAGTCCTTTGATTGGAAAAAAGCTTCGAAAAACATAAATTGGAGTGTGGGGTCTTATGCTGCTGTAGATTTTTCTATATAATTTCATAAAATCTTGACATTTCCTTGGTTTCAAAGGCTATTATCATTGTGGCTGTGTTTCATAGACCTTTTGTTCACCTTTTAATTAAGCTAGGGAAAGCATTTTGCTTTCAGGATGAGGGCCTGATTTTTGTTTGCTTCAATTTCTGAAGATATCCCTTAAACAATCTTTAGAGGATTGTTCTAATGAAATGGCTTGTTGATTATTTCTCCTCTTATTTGATGACCAAATTTTCCAACTAATTACAGGTGAAAATTCTGGCTCAGAATGAGAATGTTAAGCTGCAAGAGGCTCTGACCAGTAATTTGAAGAGTGCTGTCACGGCAGCCTTTCTCATGTTGCCTGAAAGTTTCTCTGAAGAAGATCTTTATATGAAGATTGCTGGATTGTCATATTGTGGTGAGTATAGCTTTTAAATAGTTTAATAATTGAATTTTAAAAATGAGATAGTAACTCTTAATGAAAGATGTGCACCAACTTTACTGAGCATAATAGATGGCTCAGCATATTTGACAAACTATTAGGAAGAAGTGGTCTGGATCTTGCATATGTACATCTTAAATTATTTTCAGTTTTATTCACTCAGCTGGATACCCCTTTGACATTTTTGCTTGCATTTGCTCTAAGTTTTTCCCTTTCTATGTATTAACATATTACTATATCTTTCTTTCATCCTCCTTTTTTCCAGCGTTCTTTAATATGCATATTTTCCTTCTTTCATAGACGTCTTTGCATCATCATCCTTTTCCATATTTCCCATTAATGTAACTCCTCACACTTCAGCAATATTCTGTAACGTAATTCTTTTTATTCTGTTCCAAGCAGTTTCCACATCTTTTTTGCTGTCCAGTTTCCATTCATTCCACTCTGAAAATGGAAGACTCATCTTTTTCCTTGTTGCAAGCATTGTACTTTTATGAGAATCAAAGAATGGAAACTAAATTGAGAGAGATCCACAGACTTGAAATGAGGGTTCTCCTGATGTGAGAGCTTTTAAGTAGTAGAATGGCCTGCCTCTTAAATTTGTAGTTTCTCAGGAAAAATTAAACAGTTTTTGTCCAAGAAGCTATGAGGATTTTTGCACTGGTCAAGGTTTGGATAAAGGATAGATGACTTTTAAGATCCTTTCCAATGTCAAGGTGATAATTTAAGAACTGACCAGCTGATGCAGTGAAGGGAATGAGTCAGCAGGGTCTTTGGATGTTATCACTTTAAGAATCTGTGTAATAAGAGGAGGCCCTGCTAAAGTGTTCGTTGGTTTGTCGCGTTTCTTCCCTGTTGTAATTGCTCTTTGTTTAGATACTGCTTGTAGCACTTGTATGTATAATATTCCTATATTCCTATTGTAGATAAAAACCACTATTTGATACAAACCACTGTTGGCTCTACTTGCTCCTGGGTTGATAAACGTGATAGACCTGTGCACACTTTGATACTATGATTCTTACATTTGCCTATTCTTTCTTGTCTATTTTTCCTCTAAGATCCACTACCAAATAAGATGGTATCCCACATTCAAAATGCCCTTTTAGCCTTTACTGCTTCTGTCAGTTTATATTTTTATAAATTATCAGGTTGTTTGTACTTTTAGATTCTTTGTTTTAACATATGTACTGTATTTTTCCGACTATTAGACACACTTTCCCCCCCCCCCAAAAAAATGGGTGGAAATGTCTGTGCGTCTTATAGAGTGAATGTTGTGGTGGGGGGAGGGGAGTTGGTTTGGTGCCGATCAGCTGTTTTAGGCGGTGGGGATTGCTGTCGCGGCCCATTCGCCAGCGAACGGGGGGCAGTGGCCAATGGGTGGTGGTGAATGGATGGCGGCAGCGGCGAACAGCCCACGGCAGCGATCCCTGCCACCTAGAACAGCTGATCAGTGGGATTCCAGGAGGCAAATTCAATCACCAATCAGCTGCTTGGCAGCAAAGGCACAACTGTTTTATTCTTAGACTTCCAAATATTCTCACTTATGCATTTATGTAACTTAACAGACTAATTTTTCTCCATCACATTTATTCAGAACGTTGCACAATTTTCCTCAAACTCATCACTGATTCTTTCATTATCCTGAGCATGGCTGGCTCAGGAATTCTGGGAGTTGAAGTCCATAAGTCATAAAGGAGCCATAGTTCCCCACCCCTGCTTTAGTGTAATAATTACTAAGATAAGACTAAGTCTCAGTTTGCAGCTAGTATTAGAAATCTTATTAATTGTAAGGCAAACATTTCTATAAACAGGTTGCCTATATAAATATTGATAATCTGATTTTGCTTTAGGCGATTTCAGAATGCTCATTGGAGAAGATAAATCAAAGGTTATGAACATAGTGAAACCAAACATGATACATTTTCAGAAGCTCTATAGCCACATTTTGCAAGATAGCCCTCAAGTGATATACAAGCATCAGCTGGGCAAGTTAGAGGTAAGCAGGTCAATGTTGCAAGCTTTTTAAAAAAATGTAAACTATTTTGAATACCGTGATATGTTAAATAACAAGCTATCCAGAGCCTGGCATATCGAGGTGGCTTGATTATTTAAGAAACCTGGAAAAGTAAGTCATTTTCTTACTTTAGAAATGTAATTCTGTCAATCTAAATCTGGTTGTATTCAAGAGAGTCAGTTTGGTGTCATGGTTAAAGGCACTAAGCTGGAAAAGGGAGACCAGGAATTCTAGCAGGAGATTTGGGGGCAATCGTTCTGCCTCAGCCTTAGGGAAAAAACTGACAAAACACTTCCAAAAACTGTGTGCAGTTGTCCAGATAGTTGATAGAAGTCAAGCTGACTCTGGACATACACATGTATTAAAAAATGCCATTTTGTTACATTCTGCTTTATATTGGGTGCATGAATCCTGGTTTAATTTATAGTAGTTTTCAGGAAAAATGATTAATCCATACAAGCAGTGAGGATAATGTAATTTTGTAAAGATTTATAACAAATTATCCAAAGACTAAACAAACCAAGTTTCAATTTTTCAAAATTTAACTTTCCAGATAAATCATGTTTTATGAATTCATTGGCTTTGCTCAGATTATTGGACTAATCTCATTTGGAAACAGAGTGGTGTTATTGCCGTAAATGACAACTGCATGATGATATTTAGCAACAATTTCAGCTTGATGATCTGTTGTAGATTATAAATGATAGAAAATGGGATATAATTATTAGCTCAAAATTGAAAAAAAAAAACCTCTGCCGGAATTAAACTAGTCTTTGAAGATCTGTTTATAAACTGACCAAGGCTGTCTGCTTAAGATTTAAGATTTTCCTTTGTTTACAGTCTCTTCATTTATCCTGTCATATCATATATCTTTTTCTCTGCCTACTCAGAGGCTTTAGGTTTTAGATAACCATGTAGGTGGATGACCTCTGAAAAGATTGGGGTGATGCACCCATCCTGGCCCTTTTCTCAACAGCTTTCAGTACCATCAACCATGGTATGCTTCTGGATCATATGAGGTGATTAGAAATGGGGGGCACTGTTTTGAAATGGTTCTCCTTCTTCCATGGCTCTTACCAGGAAATGTTGGTGGGGAAGAAAGATCCAGCCCTGGGGTGCTCCAGTCTGTCTCCTCTCCAAATTAAGATCTACATGAAGCCATTGGATGGAGTCATTTAGTGGCATTAGGTCCAGTATGATATTGTTACATGTCTGCATTCCATGGCACGCAAGTGATGCTGCTCATTGCCTGGAGGCTAGAAGAGTCTGGAAGGGAAGAAACCAGATAAAGTGAAGCACATTCCATGTCCCTTTCCTTAAAAGTTGTCACCTGGTACTACTCATCCCACCTAACCCTTTTGAATAGTCTTCCATCTGAAATTCAAGTCTCCCTATTCTTTTAGCCTTTTGGAAGGCCACGAAGACCTGTCTGTTCCTCCAAGCATATCACTAGAATGGGGTTGAGCCAGTAATATAGGTGATTCTAGCAGTGAGACTTTCATATGTACGAAAATGGAAAGACTGACACATTCCCACAATGATGGGAATGGCGAAGTTAATGGATTTGGCAGAGATGATGGCAAAACTGACTGCTTTGATTAAAGAAAAGACTTTGCCTAGGCTTGTATCTATTTTGGAAACCACTTTTGGACTTTTTGCTTGAAAGTGAAAGAGATGAAATTTTAACTCTGGGATTTGATGGAACTGTTTATGATTATAGAAGTACCATGTATTATCGCTAATGTTAGAGCAATTTTATTATTTTATGCTAGTATCTATACTGAAGAAAGTCAGAAGTTACCCTTTTCCATATTTTTCTTCTCTTTTCTTTTTTGCAAATCCAGTTTTGTTTCTTCCCTTACCCATTTTTTCCTTTTTTGTTTTCTTATATTTTATCTTTTGTTAAAATTTTAAAAGTCTTATTAAAAAAATAATATGGGTGATTCTGATGCCTTGGTGGGAAGAGTAGGAAGTGTTTTTATGTTTTTACCAGTTGCAGCCTAGATTCATTGACTGAGAAAGGTAACCATATAAGTTCTTTAAATAAGTAAATTTCTGAATGCAAACAACCCAAGTCCAGTCTTGTATTTAAAACATTTGCAGGTGGCAGTGAAAATCAAAATGCAAATACAATTTTGAGTCAAATCAGTCTGCTCTACTCATATTCATTGATACTTTCCCTTCTGCATTAACCGGTTTCTGTGCCCTTTTATGGGGTAAATGGACCATGAAGGAAAGTCAGTGTTCCAGTGTACATAACCTGCATGAGCTGGCAACTTGGTTTCAGATGGGGCTGCTAATTTTCTATGTTGTTGTTGTTGTTGTTAAAGGAAAACCAGCTGTGTTTGCTCCTTTTTTATCTTTAGATAGATAAAAGTCCAGAAGGTCAGTTTGCACAACTGATGGCTTTACCGAGCACCCTGCAGCAAAAAATAACTTCTCTCAAGGATTCTCCAGGGAAGAACAGAGATGTGGAAGAAATTTTATTACAAGTCGCCCATGACCCTGACTGTAGATTTGTGGTACACCAAGGTAGGTTTTAATGATAATTCTAATTTTCCCCCTCTTTTATAAAAGATTTTTAAAATTTTAAATATTTTTTAGTATTTATATATTCAATTTTAAATTGGTTTTAAAAGTTTGGGGTTTTAAATTTGTCGGGGCCAAAATTATTTAATTTGATTTTATTCTATTTTTTAAATTTTGTATTGTATGTGTTTTTATTGTTTGGCTGTGCACCGCCCTGAGTCCTTCGGGAGTAGGGCGGTATAGAAATCTAATAAATAATAATAAATAATAATAATAATAATTTGCAGAAGTGAATGTTTTAGAATCAGTCTTACAGTTTCAGAATCCATAGTATTTAAGTATATGTGGCTGGAAATGGGCAGTGGTATCAAAGCTGATGATGTAATTGATACTTTTTGTGTCAGCCCATTTTAGAATCTATAAAGACTAATTCAAAATGCTATGTTCTTATGCCAAAGCTTTAGTCATGCCTAACAAGCTTCTCTCCGTATATTTATCCTACAATTTCTACTTCCGGATTCCCTCTTTCAGGTTATTTGGCTCACAAACCACTTACCATAGAACATGCAGAACTATCACTGGGTGTGTCCCATTCATTGGTTGAACCATTCATTGGGTCTTAGCCAATAGCCATCTGAATAAACTATAGCTCCTCAGGCAGAACTTGTGGACTGAACCTGGGAGCTGGTTGTATCCAATGAAGTACTTAGAAATTCCAGCTTTGCACCTGGGAGTTATGAAGATACTGAATGATCTCACTTGGTCTATTAAATTGCACAAAATGATTACCATGTTAATGTTGTTCTGATAAATCTAAATCAGGGCTGTCAAACTTGTGGCCCGCGGGCCAGCTGTGTCATGTGCTGGCCATGCCCACACCGGGTTTAGCAAAGGAGGAAAGTCCCGACACGTGACACTACCATGATGACATGAGTTTGACACCCCTGGTCTAAATACACCACTGCATAAAAGTTCACACATCCTTATTTTTGGCACCATGTTGATTTCTTTAGAAACCTGGGTTTGGTAACTCTTTTACTGTTAAAAAAAATTCCCTATTTCAGATGATTTGGCTCAAAAGCAAATTGCCATATAATATGAAGAACTATCATTGGATGTGTCCCATTCACTGTTCATTGTGTCTTAGTCAATAAACTATAGCTTCTCAGGGCTGAATTTGAGGCTGACCTTGGGATTTAGTTATGTCCAGTGACGGACTTAGAAATTCCAGCTCTCAGCCTAAATTTCCCACTATCTTAAATGCTACAACCATGATGTTTCCAAAGTAGGATATTATACAACACAGCCATAGTTGTCAGGAAAGTTACTCTAGAAAGGTCACCAGCATACCATCTAGTCTGGTTATATTAAATGGGTTTCAATTAATATAAAGCAGAGAGATGGACAGTTTGCTTGGAAAAGTTTAATCAACTGTCTGCCTCTTTTCTCTCTTGACTAATTAGATTAATTAAACTATAATTAGTTTCAGCTGAAGGGGATTTCTGGGTGGGTCCTGCAGGTAATTGCTGCCAGTAATGGCCCCCAGTTTCCCTGACTGAGACATAATACCTTAAGGAATATTTACTTGATCCTGATGACTATCACAGCATTCATCCAGTCACACATGCCTCCTTTGGGAGCAAAGCGTTCAGTTTAAAGTGTTTGAAGATTCTCAATCACTCAGGTCATGTTTTTCCCAAAGGTGCTTTTTCTAAAAGGCAACTGGACTTTCTTGGTTTTTTTGAACCAAATGAAAACATTTTGTTTCAGTTCAGAACTGAAGTGAAACGGTTTCAAAGAAAAAAAATCCAAGAAAGTCCAGTTGCCTTTTGGAAAAAGCTCCTTTGCGTCAGTTTCAGGGTTCTTAAATGAACTTTCATGGAACCTTTTCTGAACGGGACTTAGTACCAAAATTATGTCTACCCTGCTTTTTCTGCCTTTCTGGGTAACTGGCATAAAGGCCACTGTCATTAGATTGCCTCTATATTGGAATTGGGAAGTGTTGTAGTTTGGAATTCTAAAATAGAACAGGAAATACATTCAGGGATTAAGCACAATGTACTCAGAATAGAGAAGCTAGTCAAACCAAGCTGCAGTGGTCCAGATTGTGATTTGAACCTTCAAGGAAGGTAAAGACCACTAACAGCCCTTCACTGTCTCAATGGATGGCATTTTATGTTATTTCAAGCCTAGCTGGTGTGTATGACTCTTGCTTAGAATGCAGAGCTCCTTGGGAATAATAGTAGCTCCTGAGCAGACCACTGTTCCCACAAGGTTCTTCCCCGCAACCTTGTCCTTTCATGTTTTTCTGCCTTTTATTATGCTATCTACTGCAGGTGCTGTTGTGGGCTTGGGTGGTTAGATGAGCGAATCTTGTTTGGAGTCAAAGGAAACAGGCCCAGGCCTGCAGGTTGTTAGTTCTTCTCTAATCCTGTACCTGCAGGAGCTTGGCTGTTTGGATTTAGTGGTTTTCACTGCCACTTTTGGCTCTACTTCTTTTTCTGACAATGAGCTACCTGAGGGGGCCATCACAAGACCCTCCCAGGTGAGAACAATTTTAGCTGGTAAAGGGCAATGAATTCGTATTAAGGAAAGTGAGGCATACTGATGTTTTTATGAGGCAACTTGACCAGAGCTATCAGACATGGGCTATAACAATCCCAAAGACCACTAGATGATCAAAGAGAGTTTTCTCTATTTCTTTGCTGCTATATAGTGTTTTTAACCACATATTACTGTAGGATCTCTTAGGGAGGAACATGTTTTGTAATACTTCAACTTAATAACAAGATACGGTTAATAACTTCATCAGAAACAGCAAATAGCCATGATTGGCTGCAGGGAAAACTTGAATTTTATTTGTGAAGATCACTTCATTACACAGAACAGAAAATTTGAATGTTCATGCATTATATTATATAATATATATTAAAAACATTGGAGTAAATGTTTCTCCCCAACAAAATAAAAATATATAGTGTTTGGTGGGATAATCACCTGGTTATTCTGCCAAGTGTACTTTAATGTGTTTCTGGAATAATATTTAATGTTTAAACCCCCTTTTTAAAAATAACCTCAAGAATAACATCTGACTCTGTTTATTTTCTCCTTCTTTCCATGCTTCCTCCTCCTCCTTCCCCCTCCCCAGGTATTTCAAGAATTGTGGGATTGTCCAGCCTAATTCAGAGTGCTAAAACTACCCTAACAGCTGGTAAGAACTTGTGTGCAGTGTTTTTCGAGATAAATCTTGTATTCAAACATACAAAAGTGTTTTTGCAAAAGGAAAATGAAAAATGAATTTAAAAAATTAACAATAGAGACAATTGATTTAAATTGTTTAAGATGCTAATACTGTGGCTAAATTGCTTTCTGCACCTTCCAAACCCAACTACCGTGTTTCCTCGAAAATAAGACTGGATCTTATTTTCTTTTAGCCTTGAAAATAAGCACTTGGGCTTGGTTTTGGGGAGGTCTTTTTTTTTTTTTTTTTTTGAGCTGCAGGAGGCAGTGAGTGCCCCTTAATTATGCCCTGTGGATCAGCTGAGCCAGCGAGGGCCAGGAGCTGCCTCTTGTTCTTTCTCTGCGGGCGCCTGGAGATGTTTTCGGCGCACTTTTGCCAGCCCCAGCCATGCCTGCGGCACCAGGCAACCTTAAAACCAAGGGCCCCTCTCTCCCACAGCTAACTTTGTGGCTCTGGACCAGGCAGCAACCACGGTTGCGCTCTGCCAGACCTGGAGTTTGGGTGTTGCTCAGGCTACTGCTACAATGAGACAGAAGGTCCTGCGGCATGTCGGAATCGGCTCTCCCCCACCTGCCTCTACTCGGCTTCTGGGCCTGCTGGGCCTGTTGCTGCTGGCCTCGTGGGGCCTCATCATCACTCTCCTGGCTGCCCTGCTCTCAGCAACCTGGCTGGGCTGCTCCTGCCTAGAATGGGGCAACTTGGCAAAGATCTCCAGAGCACCTCCCCCGCTGCCTGGCTGCCAGGGCCCCCTTCGCCAGTGGTCATGCTGCCCTGAGAGACCTCCGTGGCGGCCCTACAGTGGCGTGGGGCAGATCACCCCTTCCTTCTTTGCACCGCAAAACCCATTTACTGAGAGATGCTGCACACTGCTTCTGGGCAGGGGAGGCTCAGTCCCCTTATCCAGTTGCCCTCTGCCATTTCTCATCAAATGTCTGAGAGAGAGAAAGAGAAATGGCAGACAGGATACCCTTTCAAACAGCATTGCCTGCAGTTCTCATTACTCCCCTCCGCTGTTTCTCTTTCTCTCTCACTCACACACAGACATTTGATGAGAAATGGCAGAGGGCAACCGGGTAAGGGGACTGAGGCTCCCATGCCTTCAACTCGGTGCCTGTTTAGGATGATGTTTTCAGTGTCATATTTTTGTTGGGATAAGATATTTTTATTTCCTCACTGTGTATGTGTATGTCCATGTAGGACAATTTCCATGTGTTCTACTATCACCCTTAATTATATCAACAAAGAAAGGAAGCATATAAACCTGAAGGTGCTGTGCTTTTTTATTGCTTTGTCTTCCTGGTTTATGAATATTATGAAACCTTTTTTGTCAAGTTTCTAATAGTCTGCAGTGCTTTCTGAGACAAACTGATCTCAGTTGAGATAATTCTTCCCATGTCTGCCACTTCAGCCAGTTGCTAGAACCTGCATAATGGAGCTTTAGCCCTGTGGCCAAAACTTGTTAATTGGTAGGAATCCCTGTATAACCTGACTCTGGATAGTTAACTCATTCTGATTTACTGATAAGTTGAATGGCCTCTCTGCATCAGTGCAATGACTGTAGCAGTGCAGCAGATGTTTTAAGATATAAGCCCAATTAAGTTTGACTGTTGTGTGGGTGTTTTTCATATATTTTGCTGTGAACAGAGATACCGGTTTAACCACTTAACCATCCTTCTCTTGTTACAGCTGTAATTCTTCTAATGAGGCTTTGAACTAGCACAGACCTGCATGACTATTATTTTTCATGCTACATTATCCACCCATCTCTTACACCCCTTTTCCTCTTTCCCACACAGGCTTTATTCAGATTTTAATGGCAGCAGGCTTGAGGCAGTATCTTCAGGCCAGACATTACGTTAGTAATTTGCCTTTCACCTCTCTAGTCTCACCCGCTACCATCATCTCAGCAGGATTCTGAATGTGGTTGGTAATTAGATCCTGCTAGGCTGTAAATGTTAAATGTTGCTGGGCTGCCATGTAGCAGTTACCTCTTTCAGTCAAATACCTGGATCTATAACACCTGAGTGGAAGTACAGGTAAAATGGTCCTTGCTAAGTTCTACAGTGCATCCAGGGTTTATTATGTAACTGGCAGGTTCTGCTTCCAAACATTGGTAAAGAATATAAAGGGCTTCAACCATCTAACAGGATTTATTTTCATCTTACACAGCCCATGTGGTATAAAACTAGCATGACCCCCCCCCTTTTTTTTTTTGGCTTACTTTTGGAGGCCCTATTTAGCTCTTAAAGAAAAAGAAAGCCCATATGTTTTCTAAAATCTGTGGCAAGACTTTGGGTCTGGTTTCTATTAGAAATGGCACCATCCATTGATTTATTTTTCTTCTTGGTCTTATGGCATATAAGGCTCTGAAATGCTTGCAATTTAGATGCTTCATAAAAAGAGAGAATACATTTGGCAACCTTATGTGAAGTAATATAAGCTTTCTTATATTTGCAGTAATGATGTTGTATCAGGTATAGCTTTTTGTGAAAAACATACATTCCTATGTATCTTGAGTATGAGTGTGAGACCAAGGAGTTAGAAGGAGGAGGAATGGACAGATTTGCATTTGTAAATACACACACACACACACACACACACACGTGAGTGTTGTACATACACACACACACACACACACACTATATGTATATGTGTATAGACAGATGGAGGGAGGGAGGGGGAGAGAGAGAATGAGAATGGGAATGAGAATGAATAATTTCCTCTCTGATACTGGTGCTATATTCGGGATAACAACAGAAACAATCTTGTCCAGATTTTTTATTGTATTAAATTTGTTTGCTGCTGGATCACATTTCTTTTCATTTGCTTAGTGTCACTCTTGTACATCTGGTCTGTGACCTCTCCCAGCCTATTCATGCATAAGGCAAAGGATGTCTCTAGATGAGGCAATACCAGATGGCCTTCAGTCCTACCTGAAATGGAAACTTTCCATAAGATATATATTTTGCGCTGACCAAATGCATATCAATAGCTGCATCAACATCAGGAAAAAAACTCCATGCAATCCTGCTGCACTTCATTAACTGAGAAGACGGATTATTTGAAATTTCTAAAAGGTGCCTCTGATGGGCTCTATTTCCTTGAGGGGATTCCTGAAGAGTTTATAACATTTGCTTAGAAATATACTGGTTGAACAGGCAGGGTTAGATCCTAAAACAACATTGGTATCTAACAGCACGCAGGCCAGAGGCTTCCAGACACTGCAAAATCTCTCAACATCTAAATCTGTAATGTATGCCCCATCTGGATGAAGGAAAGCTTAGACACCTGGAGAGGTTGTGTAGTCTTGCATGGCTCATCTGTCCTTGGACAGATAATTTTTGAGAAAACATACACAGGAAGATACTCTACCACCTTTTTAAAGAATGCCATCAGAATCCAGGAACCTTAAGATGTATAAACTATATTAGGCTAGTGAGATTCTAGACTCTTTCTAGCACAATAACAGGGATTTTGTCTACAGCTTTGTACATGTATGGTTGTCACATTTCTAAATCCATTTTTAGCAGTACAACATGCACAGTGATAGCCATAGGGAGAAAAATTCACTAGCTTGGAGCTAAACACTACAACAGGGTCATAATGAAATATTATACTTGCTTAGAATGTAAGTCAGCTAGTTATGTCTTCTTCCATAGTGTTCTATTCCATTTTTGCCTTTTTTTCCAACATTGCCCCCTTAAAACATGCAGTGACTTTCAATTTGTTCTATTTCTCAATAGCATCTAAAAGGGCACATGTTCCCTATTTGAGGGTTATGTAGACAATTATGTAGACTGAGTGGCTTTTGGTGTGTGGAGCTTCTAGTTTTAGGACTTGTACCATCCCAGATAGACCCGGTAGGCAATTTTGGGGTTCTGCTTGATGAAAAGTTGACAGTCACGGCTAGGAGAGCCTTTGTGCAACTTTGTGTTGTGCGCCAGTTGTGCCCTTTCCTGAATTGAGAGTCTCTGTGCTCAGTCACTCAAGCCCTGGTGATCTCACACTTGAACTACAATGCACTCTACTTGGAGCTACCATTGAAGAGTATCTGGAAGTTTCAGCTGGTATAGAACCCAGCTGCGTGGGCATTTCTTGGGGTCACTAGGGTGTCCCATGTTACACCGCTGTTCTATGAACTGCACTGGCTGCCAGTTTGCTTTTGAGTCTAATTCAAGATGTTGTTTATCACCTTTAAAGCTATTCATGGCATGAGTCCAGGCTGCCTGAGGAACCATTTTACCTCAATGCTGGCTAAAGGGGCATGCTGTGTACCTTGTCTTCCAAAAAATTTTGGCTGGCAGGGTCCAGAAGAGTCATGTCTGTCATAGCGCCCACACAAGAGTGCATCCACTCTTTCGACCTTCCAAAAGGGCTTGAGGACATGGTTGTGCCAACTGGCCTGGGCCCCAACCTGGTGTGGCATTTTAGAAGTGACTAATGGATTAGATAACACCCCACCTTCTCCCCTTGCAGACTTTGCTTCCTCCCTCTCCTCTTGGTAAATTTTATTTTATCTGGCGAGATGGACGACATCTTAGTTTAATAATGAAGTAAAAATACTGCAATTCCTAATATTGGAACTTCATCAGAAGTGCTAGCCATTACTGCTACTTTGATATGCATTCAATTAGAGATAGTACTGTGAGGAAGGTATCAAAATTAAGGCACCTGCAATAGTAACAATCAAGGTCAGCAGAGAAAGAAAGCGTTTCTAATGGAAAAGACAGAAATTTTGTTATTGTTGTTGCCTTAGTAAAGTGGTCCCCAGATGGTCAAAGACTGAAATGTATTGTAGATCCCAGATGTGCTTAGAACATTAGTTATTCAAGTTAAAATGGAGGGCCTGGACAAAAGTGAATAGAAATGCAAATAAGTGATGTTATATTTAAGGATCAAATCTTATTCATGTCCATAGAGACATCCCTCCTGGGATATGAACAGGATTTGCTTTCCATAGTGCTTTGGGCCTATGCTTGACATCCATTTTAATAAATACTACTTTGCTTTATTTTGAGTGAACAAAATATTCTGTATTACATGAATATAGCAAGCATTAATGGCACATAATAAATGAGGCAACTGCTGTTTGTAAGGTTATATGGAAGTGAAAAATAGAAATCGGACTGCTATATTAGACTTAGATGTACCTTCAAAGGATGGGGGACTGGTTTCATTTACATGGTGTGAGAATAGCAATACGTTTAGGAAGTGACGAAATGCAAAACTAAGAAGGAACTATTTTGTCAATTCTGTGTACATGTGCTATATAATTACATAGTAACACACAAAGGCTGACTAAAATCTTGAAGATTTGCCTTCTCCTTCTCTGGAGTCTGGATTCACGAGAGACAGTAGAGTAAGATTGAGAAACTAACCTTTTCAGAAATGTATTGGGGACTTCTTTAATAGATAAATGGACCAGTGAGTCTTGTCAAATAGGCTAAAGAGTTAACCATGAAACAGTAGTGTGATTTACCAGGTAATAAAAAAAAACACCTGGTCCTGGGTAATTGACTAAAATTATTCTTTGGCTTTCGAAGGTATAAATTAACAGAGAACAAGAATCAAGAGTGATCATGGAAAAGGAAAGCAGTTTATTTAGTGTCACATAAAATTCCTTAATATGTTTTAATACTAGTAATACAAACAATGAAAAGTTGTTATCAAATTAATTATAATCATTTATAATAATTTGTAACAGTAGTTAAATCAGGAAAGCAACTTCGTGAATAATAATGTATCTTAAATTAAGAATCTCTTAATTTATATTTGAATAGTAAAAGAAAAGAGTCCTAGCAGTTTTGAATGGAAAAAAGTGTTTCATATCTTTGTGTAACTGCTTTAATCAATTATCACAATAAATTCTCTAATGAATTTATGCTGCAGGGTCCTATGTTAGCAACTCAGCAGCTGATAGGTTACATGGCTAAGTTTATGAATATAGGGTGTTGAATTCTATCTCATTTAAATTTTATATCGATTACTTACATAATATTTCTTAATTTAAAGGGATGAAAAAGTCATTGATCTACAGCATGAAGAAGATGTACAAAATGTCAAAGGGATGGTTCAGAAAATCATGACATCTATGAAGTTAAAGTTTTGAAAAATCTGATCTTCTCATGAATAAATGGTATTCTAGTTTATTTTTTGCATCACTTTGGAAGACACAGCATCTTGTTCAGTTTGGAGAAACTTTGTTGTATTATTTATTTTCAGACAACTTTTCAGAGAAGATAACAGATTAAGGTGAAATCTGTTTTTTACCTGCTTTCTTTACCTGTTTTCTTTGAAGACTATTTGGAATGATTTCCCCCTATGCTTGTTAGCATTTTTCTAACTTTTCCACAGTCGGCTAACTTTACACGTGTTATATATGTAATATCTTCGAAACGTCCCTGTTTCCTAAGCTTTATATTTTTGAGGTATTTTTTAAATCACATTTGGGTTAAGAGTTCTGTTACCCTTCTGTTTTTGCATCATTCACTTTACCAAGAACTTATAATGGTCTTGTCCTATATCTTAAGAAACACTGAATAGCAATGGGTTAAATTCTTTTGCTTGTGGCACACCTACTGTGTAGAGCTACATATCAAGTAACTTTGAGAAAGGTCAGACATGCGCTTTCCAGGCACAGTTGACATTACAGCCAAATATTGGTGAGCAGGTCATATTTCAAAACAAGGTCTGGTTATTGTTGAGTTCCTGGGATTAATAATAGGTGTATATATTTATAATGAAAGTGTTCTGCTACACTGCCAATTCACAAAATGCTTAATGTCAGACTGTACAATCTTCAGGTAGCTCAATAATACCTAACATAAAATCAAACAATATTTTCCATCATGATTTAGATTGCTTTTCTTCCTTAACACCCAAAGCAATGAACTTCAACTACTGGATCATAAAGAAAAGCTGCTGAATTGGTTTTTTAAAATATAAAGCATTGGACTAGGTGTAAGGAATAAGTTTTTATCCTGCCTTTAACATTTTCTCTCTTAACTTGAAGAAGAAGGCAAGGGCAAAGCACTTCCAAAAACACGTTGTCAGGAAAATTGCAGAGACTAGTGCATGTTATTATTAGGAGTTGAGACAAACTCAACGGTACAAAAGGGGGGGAAGAACAAGGTGAAGATATGTAACTATCATTTTATTAAAAGAGGGATTTGGGTTATGAAATTGATCCTCAATACATCTTCTAAAGTGAGCATATTGTAATGATTTGGGGTGAAAGAGATGTGGGGGAGTATTTATTAACTTCTCCCTGCTCCATTCTCTCCTTCCTTGGGAAAGCTCTTTGCATAGTACTATTTTGTTTGTACACTGACCAGAGTCCCTCTGTGAGGGAGATCCACAGTTTCTAAATGTGATAAATAAATAAAATTGTTAAATCACGGAATGTGATCAGCTATGGAATTTGACTCAAAAGGGGAAAATGATATAAATTATGTGGAGGATAAACGTTGTTTCCAGCAGTAGAGACATTCTTGGGAAATACGAGGAAGAAATTATAGGAACATAGTGAAACAGAGCTACGGAAATAAAAAAGGATATTTTTTTTAAAGAATTGCAGTTTTCTATTTTAGGCATTGGTTTCAGCCAAGGTAGTTGGTAATCAGGAATGTTGAGAACTGAATTAGAAAAAGTCTGAAAAGCCCAAGATATAATTTGTAAGGCTGCCCAGAATCACCTTACTGGTGAGAGAGGCGGCATATAAATATAGTAAATATAAATAAATAAATCTTCCAACCCATTCTCTAGTGCAACTCAATTTTAAGTTGAGTTTAAGTTAAGTTTAAGTATTAAGAGAAATTATAAGCCACAATCGCAGAAATGAATGTTTTAGAAATATTTGACAATAGAAACAGGCATATCTGTGTGTATGTGTAACACTTGTCACAGATACAGAGTTTCACAACATTTTCATATTATGACTTCATCAATTACAGAAGCTAATTGCTGATTAGTTTAAAATCATGAAAATGATGGTTTCTCAAAAGTTTTTCAACTACAAATGTCCAGTAGTATCATATGCCCCAAGGGCTAATTTTAAGGAATAGTTAATACTAAATATCTGTATGGAAGAGTTCATAAAAATGAGATACACACTGAGCAATTTCTCTACTAAAGTTTTCTAATGTCATTTAAGAAGCTGTGGTAACTATCCTGGCAGGATGCGTGAATATTGCATGCTAAGCAATGCAATAGGTGTAGCCCCTGAGAACTCCTTTGAATAATCTTTTTTTAAAAATGTAAGACATAGACCATGCCACAGATTTCAGTCAAATGGCAGATGATACTGGTAGCAACACAACCAGCCTTGAAACACGAATATGTGAGTTATGTTTAAAGGGTGGGTTAATTTAGTTATGGGTGACCCTCAAATATTAATTTGGGAAAAGGCTGCTGCACTAAAACTGAATAGCTGCTATTAAGTTGAATAGTCTTGACTGAGTTAGAGAAATAGTATCATTTACTACAAAATAGCTTCCTCTTGCGTGAATTAGTTATCTATATTAAGGGGCAGAGTCTGTGTAAAGCCAATATGAAAACTGTATGCTAATAAATGTTTTCTTTTCCCGACACAATGAGAGGCAATTTAAATCTAAATGTTTAAGGAAGAAAGCAGCCTGTACTTGACCCCTCTCAGGAAGGCAATGAAAGGGATAGAAGATGTGAAAGGTTACACAGTTGGAAATGGAATCCATATGATGAACTAGCTGGAACTGCTTATTCCCTTAACTAGAGTTTAATAATTTTTAATTGAAAATGCAACTAAAATGACTGGAATGGGCTTATCTTTTTTTTCTGCACATTTATTTATTTTTAAATAATAAATAAATGTGCATGTAAATAAAAACATTTCTATGGTTATATTTTATTTAAAAGATATTTAACAATAAAACATTGATGAGATATTTTGCAGATTTGCAGGTCAGCATCTAACATGATGGTTGTAGTGACATGGGTTAGAGTGCCTATGTCTAGTAAGAGCTGGGGCTTCCAAAGAAGCTGAAGTTAATGAAAGACATGTAGCATTCTGTGAAAGGGCTGATTTTTTTGTGAAAAATCAGTGTTGTATATCAACTGGTTGTGCTGTTGTCAAGAAAATGGGCGTTGGTACCTACCTGATACGCCTCTTCTCTGACTGTTGGGCACGGCAGTCAGGATGGGTGGAGACTAGGTTGAGCTTGATTGGACCGGGTCTGCAGATTGAAAGAAGTCCCTCCTCCTGGCTGTAGCTGTCAGTTTTGAGACGAGGGAGTAGCTGCAGAAGACGTGTCTAGGACGATAAAGAAGAACATTAGGATCCCCGCCCCTCCCTGAGGTAGACTATGCCAGGGCCGGCCCCATGTAGGGTGGGGCTGACTGCCGTGCCCGACAGTCAGAGAAGAGGCGTATCAGGTAGGTACCAACACCCATTCTCCTGTAGTCGGGCACGGCAGTCAGGATGGGACATACCAAAGCCAGGTGTCCATTCGGGAGGGAGCCGGCCGGCCCGGAACTAGGAGGCAGCTTGGACCTGCTGAAGAACCCGTCGACCAAATGCTGCATCCGCCGAAGCGAATTTGTCCAAGTGGTAGTGGCGGATAAATGGGGTCGGGGAGGCCCAAGTTGCCGCCCGACAGATCTAGTCAATGGAAGCCCGGGTGGACCAAGCCGCCGAAGTGGCCGCGCTCCGAGTGGAATGAGCGGTGACGTTGCGTGGGACTGGAAGGGAGCGAACCTCATAGGCAGTTGAAATGCAGGCTCTAATCCAACGACCCAGCGTGGTTGAAGAAATCTTCGATCCCAAAGACGCCGGCAGGAAAGACACAAACAATGCATCGGAACGCCTGAAAGATGCTGTACGAGATATATACACCTTAATGGCCCGACGGACATCGAGGGTGTGCCAACGTCTTTCCAGGGGATGGCAAGGGGAAGGGCAGAAATTTGGGAGCACCACCTCTTGTGCTCGGTGAAAAATGGAATTAACCTTCGGGATGAAGGAGGGGTCTAGTCTCAGCACCACCCTATCCTGGTGAAATAGGCATAGCTCTTTACGAATGGAGAGGGCCGCCATCTCCGAAATTCGTCGGGCGGAGGTAACCGCTACTAGGAAGGCCACCTTAAAGGAAAGATGCCTGAGGGAAACCTCACGAAGTGGTTCGAAAGGAAGACCAGTGAGCGTCACCAGAACCGTTGGTAAGTCCCAGGAAGGGTATCTGTGAACTGTAGGTGGCCTAATGTTGGAGGCTCCACGTAGAAACTGACGAATGAGTGGATTCTTGGAGATAGGTTCCGTCGAGGAGCCAGATAAGACGGTAGAAAGAGCTGCCACCTGGCACCGTAACGTATTGGGTGATAGACCAGAAACAAAACCGTCTTGGAGGAACTCTATAACCAGCGTGACAGAGGCAGATGAAGGTGGCTGGTGGTGTCTGCTACACCACAACGAAAAGGCCTTCCAGGTAGCTTCATAAATACGGGCAGTTGAAGCCCGCCAAGATGCCTGAATCGTGGATATGGCCCCCGTGGAGAGAGGAAGATTGGTTAGGAGGCTCCGCTCAATCTCCACGCGGCGAGCTGGAACCAGTGTGGATCCGGGTGTTCTAGTTGCCCTTGAACCAGGGCCATTTGACCGTCCGGAATTCGCCACGGGGCCTGCACCGAGAGAGACTTGAGGTCGGCGAACCAGGGGCGTCGATTCCAGAAGGGAGCAATCAGTATTACCTCTGCCCGCTCCAGTAGTAGCTTCCACAACACTCTGGGTATGAGATTGACCGGAGGAAAGGCGTACAACAGTTGATTGGACGGCCAAGGAGTCCGCAGAGCGTCTACCGCTTCCGCTCCCGGACACGGAAACCTGGTAAAGAAGCGCGGGAGTTGGTGATTGGTCGCGCTGGCGAAAAGGTCCACCGTTGGTTGACCGAAGCGGTGGGTCACCTCTTGAAATAGCTGGGGAGGGAGCGACCACTCCGTGTTGTCCATTGTCGACCGACTGAGCGCGTCGGCCGTCCGGTTCTGGGCCCCCGAGATGTGCGCTGCCCGTAAAGAGGCCAAGTGTCTTTCCGCCCAGAAACCTAGGCGTTGAGCTTCCCGCATCAGGGCCTTGGAACGGGTCCCCCCGAGTCTGTTTACATGCGCTTTGGCAGTTACATTGTCCGTTAGAACAAGGACATCTCGGTGGAGGACGAGATTTCGGAAGGCCTTTAACGCGAGGAAGATAGCCCGAAGTTCGAGCACATTGATATTCATCTGTTGTTCCTGGAGGGACCAAAGCCCCTGTGCCAGGTTTGGGTCCAAGTGAGCACCCCAGCCGGACAAACTGGCATCCGTCGTGAGAAGAAGGGGCTGAGGTTCCTGAAATCTGGTGCCTTTGAGAATTGCCTCCGAAGTCCACCAGGAGAGAGAGTGGAGCACAGGATGAGGCAGAACCAAACTTGTGGCCGATGTGTCCCTATGCGAGCGTTGAAATGGAAGTAGTAGCCATTGTAAATCCCGGCAGTGCAAACGAGCCCAAGGGACAATACCCAAGGTCGAGATCATTTTACCAAGGAGGCGAGATAATGAAAGGATGGAAGATGACCTCTGTCCGCGTATACGGACCACCAGGTTCCTCAGGTTTTCAATTCGGTCAGGTGATAGAGAAACCTCTGATGACAGAGTATCAATCACCGCCCCCAGGTGCTGAATGCGGGTGGCAGGCATTAAGTGGCTTTTATCCCAATTAATGGAAAACCCATGCTCCTGGAGGATCTGCAGGGTGGTATTTATATCTGACTGCGCTTGCTGCCGTGATTGGGATAAAATGAGAACATCATCTAAATAGAAGGAAATTCTAATCGGGATGGATGAGATGTAGCCCATAAGGGCCGCCATTATTTTAGTAAAGGCTCTAGGGGCCGAGGACAAACCAAATGGGAGGGCCCTGTACTGATAATGTTTATTATTATAACAGAAGCGGAGAAACTTACGATGATCGGGGAGGATGGGAACGTGGAGGTAAGCTTCTGTTAAGTCTATAGAAGACAAAAAAATCGCCTTCTCGTATACCAAGTAAAATAGTTTGCAGGGAATGCATCTTGAACATGCAGTATGTTATGTACCGGTTCAATGATTTCAAATCAAGGATTGGACGCCAGCCTCCAGAAGCTTTTTGCACCAGAAAAAGGCAGGAATAAAAGCCTTGGCCCCATTCGTTAGAAGGGACCGGCTGAATGGCCCGAATAGATAATAAGTGGTGGATGGCAGCTTCCACCTGGGCCCTTTTAAGGTTATTAAGGGAGACTGGACAACGTAAAAATCTGCTAGGGGGATTGGAAACAAATTCTAGTGAAAGACCAAATTTAATAGTATTCTTTACCCAAACATCGGTCACCGAGGTCTCCCATGAAGGGAAGAAAAGAGCCAAACAGCCACCAAGCCATGAAGGCCCGAGACCCTTAACTGACCCTTCGGAAGGGGCGCCCCCTACCTCCACCGGGAGCCTTCCTGGGGGGAAATCTAGATCCCTGTCTGACCTGGTTATCTTGATTGAAGGTTCCTCTTTGCTGGTAGGAACGATGAGACCTCTGTTGATAATAGCCTGAGTCGGAGCCACGAAAGGACTGAGGCCGAAAGGATCCAGATGAACGGTTATCCGATCGATGAGACATTGCAGGTAAAATCTTCCGGTGGTCCCTGGTCTCGATAAGAAGGGGTTCCAGGGAAGCCCCAAAGAGCTTATCGCCCACGAATGGAGATGAAGCCAGGCGCCACTTGCTGCGAACGTCAGCTTGCCAGGATCTTAACCAGAGTAACTGACGAGCGGTAACTGCAGAACCAATGGCCTTGGCGGAAAATCTAGCGGCATTCAAGGTGGAGTCAGCCGAAAATTCCACCGCAGCCAATATTTTGTTAATATCCTGATGCGCTCAAACATCCGACGGAGAAATGCGGCCCTGCAGTTGCTTTAACCAAAGAATTGACGCTCGGTTAAAGAAGGATGCTGCTGACGTCGCCTGGACTGACCAGGCCGCCGCCTGGTGGCCCTTAATAAGAGTCCGCTCAGCCCTACGTTCTTCTGGGCGAAGAGATTCCTCTGCCGGTCCTGAAAATGGAGAGGACGAGGATAGAGCCGCCACTGGGGCATCCACAACTGGGATCTGCAAGAGAGAAGCATAATCCGCCGCCAAATTATACAAACGTCTATCCAAACTATTCGGAATTGGGCCAGTACTGGGATTTTTCCATTGCCTTTGCAACACATCTGCAAAAAGTTTAGGGGCTGGAACAATTTCCGTTTGTACCGTAGGTTCCTCAAATAGAGCAGAAGAAGTAACCGGCGCCTCTGTCTGAGGCTGAGATTTAGTAACTGGAAGGCCCAACCCCGTTGTAATCTGGGCTTTATGCAATAATGAGCAAAACATCTGAGGGAGGAACAGGCCCACAAAGGAGGGTTGGTCGGGCTCTAGTCCCTCATCCTCAGACAAATCTTGATCAATAATGGCCTGTTCCTCGTCCCCTGAAAGGGATCCCTGACTGTTTCTAGATGGGGAAACAGCTCGTTCTGGATTGTGAGATGAAGCCTGCAAGGGCTGAGAAGTGACTGAAGGGACATGGTGACTCAAATAATCCGAAACCTTGGAGGATGCCCTTTCCTGTAATCCCTGAGCAATGCCCTGTTTAATAGACTCAGCGATCAATTGGGCTAAGGCTGGAGTAAGCTCTAGATTATGGCCTTGAGGCGCTGGAGTCACAGTATCCCTGGAAGTCTGGGGAGCCACATCTGCTTGCTGGATTGGTTGTGGATTGCTGAAAGGAGAAACCCCAGATGAGAAAACCACTGCTGTGTCAGGAGCAATAAAATCCTCCGTAACAGAAATATCAGGTGACAGGTTAGGCACCAAGATGGATGAGGAATTGGCCTCCACATGAATGGACTCCACTGAAGGAGCCAGGACAGTTGAGGGGCCAGGTTGCACCTTGGATGAGGATGCTGCTTTATTACAGGCCCTTTCTATGGCCTTGTGTCATCTCTCCTCATCCCTAGACATATGGGCCTCCTGGAAAGTTTGGATTCTAGGTTTTTTGGAATGATTGCCAGAGGAAGACTCCCCTGTTAGGCTTCTCTGCTTGTGGGAGCGTTTTCCTGCTTTGGAATTATCATGATCCCTGGTGTCCGCCATCTTAGAAGGGCTATAAAATGGCTGCTAAGGAGTATAAAACAGAAAGGGGCCCACTGTTGGCCTGCGAGGGCGTAACTCACTGCGTTTTATGAGAGGCCTTGAAGCTGGCCAAAATGAGGCTCGCGAGTGTTTGCCAGCCGGTCGAAGCACTGTCAATATGAGGCGTTGATTTTCCGCGCGCTGAGAAGCCGCTAATTGAAGCCCCTGGTCTGCACGGCAAGAAGGAGGCCAAGCCGATCCACGTGGGCTTCTCCGGAAAAGCGCCAGCCAGCCGGCATGGACGCTTTAATAAATGAAGCGCAGAGGGCGAGCAGCAGCCGCCGCCAATCTAATCGCCATCCAATCGCTCCCTCAGCGCCGCCAGAGCCTGCAAGGCCGCACGCGACGGAGCGAACTCGTGCGTGTGGGCGAAGATCACCAGCCGGCAATCTAACCGCCGAGCGGTCTTCAGCAGAGCGGAAAACAAGCTCTCTCGCTGGAACGGGCTGCCAGTCAAACTGCAATTTAAAGAAGCTTTTTTTTTTTTTTTTTAAGTCGAAGAGCTGTCTCTAGACACGACTGGTCCTAACTCGACCGAGTCGAAAAACTGACAGCTACAGCCAGGAGGAGGGACTTCTTTCAATCTGCAGACCCGGTCCAATCAAGCTCAACCTAGTCTCCACCCATCCTGACTACCGTGCCCGACTACAGGAGAAAATAAGCTTCCTGCCCTGTTCCCAACTTTGAATGGTTGACCAGTGGATACAAATGATACACAACAAATAAAAACCCATTCATATTTTTTCATTACTCATAGCATTCTTCACATAGCAAATGGGGTACACTGTAAGATAAATACCTATCTGTGGCCTCGTTATTTTTTTTTGTCCAGAAAGAATGGAATCATTTTATAAAATCTGTGATCCTCATTACATGTGGATGAACTAAAAATCATCCCAATTTAGCATTAAAGGAACTGAGAAATTAAGAATTGTAAAGATTTTCTTGTGTCCCAGGTGACCAGTGCAATTTCAGTACCAAATGTAAGACAGAAATGACATTGGATAGCATGGTGGGTTCTGCAACAGATTAATACTGTAGTTATTCCAATGATATGAATTGAAGGACTGCATCATTAAGCTCTAGCATTATTTTATTGGGAAGATTGTAGGAAAGGGTTTTTTAAAAAGAACTTTAGAAGATGCAGAACTTCCCCTGTGAATGAAAGCTAGAGTCAGTTGATTATCAATTACTTGCTTTTTTAAAAGACCTTTTGAATTCTTGTATATGTATTCAGTGTAGATAGTTATTTCAATTTGAATATTTGTTCCAAAACTTTCAAGCCAACTTTTTATTAGAATGTGTGCTAATATGCAGATTCAGAGGCTAGCATCATTTCCTTCTCCCTGCTTTGACTAATTTGACCTAGTATACCTTGGCACTTGACTGCTTCTTGTCCTGGTGGTTGTCTTTCTCTCAGTAGTTGACATGCAAGGAAGAACTTGCTGATGTCGGCTGCCTTGTGACTATTTCTTCTGGCTGAAATAATGGGTCACGTGAATAAGTCACATGATGTTCTTGTGACTTACCCCATTTTTGAACCCTGAAATTAGCCTTATTTTTGGGGAGGTCTTATTATTTTGGGCTGCATGGAGCAAGATGGGGTTCCTCTTGCTGTCCTACCTGATTTCCAGCTCTGTCTCCCTAACCCTAACCAGAGGACGTGGTGGGGACCAGCTTTGCATGTGTTTAAATATTTTTGGGGAGGGCTTATTTTAGCACATGTGCTCAAAAGCCTGATTGGGCTTATTATCAGGGGATGTCTTATTTTTGAAGAAACAGGGTATTTGTTTGAATGTTTAATGTTACAGGAATTGTGCACGAAATAAAAAATATTAATTTTATTTCAAACCTTGCACAAGCAATTGTATCTTCAATTGACTTCAATTTGATAAAAACAACAAATTGTGTTAGTTGTAGGATTCAGAGAAAGTCTAAAGGGCAAGGGATGGGAGGGGATATCAAAAATGTGTGTGAAACCCCACCTCCTTTTTAGGTATAATGGTGCTGGGGAAATCGTGAAGTATCTTTTACAGAATGAATAGATTCCAACACAACATACTCTGTCTGTTTGCCCCCAAATATTGCCAGTTCTTTCCTCTCCCTGCCTCGTATCAGGAAGAGATGCCTTTACCCTCATGTAGAAGAAACAATCCTGGGAACACGTGGGCATGGACAACATGAAACCAGCTGTTCCATGTCCAGAGCAAATTTTGTATGGAATGGTTTGCACATTCCTACAGCTTACATATTCAATTGGAAATGCAAGGCAACCTAGTTGCTGTGCCAAAGGGAATTTGCAATCATTTATAAATAGATTTTTATTTTAGAAGTGTGAACAGATACATATATAAAATCACATTTGTATATTTTTATATCCAAGCATACTTGGAGTTCACATATCTATTTTCACAAAGGCAGCCAATGCAGTCATAAAGACAGAAAGGTTTCCTTAAACTGCCACTTTGGAATAGATTATTGTCACGAAAAATATGGCTTAAAATGTTAAAAGTAACTTGATTAGATCTGTGAACCTGGAGACTGACTTCTACATCTTGTAAAGACTTAGTTATAAGCAGAGCAGAGGGAAATGTAATATTCAGAAGGGAGAGAAAGAGACAGAAGATAAGCACAGTGCAAGAGCTAATTAAGCATTTGATGTGCAACAGATGTTCTGTACAGAACTAATATCCTAAAAGCAATGGTATTACAAGTGTTTCATTATGTAGCTTGAATGCAGATTTAATTGCCTATGTAAAACAGGGGCTATATAACTTCCAAATTTATAATGTGGATAGTGTATTCCAATTTTTAATGCCTTTGAAATCCTGTAACCACTACACAATAAAAATTTTTAAGTGTCAGAGCTTAAGAAAGATTTTATTCTCTAACGAGGATGATTTTAAAAACCTTCCTGTTTTCCTACCTTCCTTCCTTCTGGGTGTTATAGCACTTCAATCTGTTCAGGTTTTGGTACAGTGCCAAGAAGTAATCATGAGCTAAAGTTGTCCATGTTTTGAGCTTCTCCTATTTTTCTTAATGGAAATCACTCTGTTTAATCACTCTGTTCGATTGTCGCATAAAAAATTATTCAGAGAAAATGTATTTCTTTATAAAGAAATATACAAACACACAAGATTATTGAAATAAAGATATTTTTCAATGATGTATGTGATTGGTTGCATTGAATTTTTTCAAACTATGGAAATTAACAGTGTTTAATACTTTATACTTATACTTATTACTTACTTTATACTTATTGCTAAATAAATTCTAATTCAATATCATGCACTTGTTAAAAATCTGTGTTGATCATGTTGGTGTATAGTAGTGCTTTTGTTTTATTGTTCTGCTAAATTTCCTCTCCTAAATTTAATATAGTACACAATATAGTACTGTGAATCTTCCACAGTAAACTTGATGTATTATGTACTGTTTCACATCTGTTTGCATGGATACTAGATACATCAGTAGATAAACCAATTGATAGACTTATTTATTTTTGCATGATTCTTTATCCATATGAGTTATTTATAGCTACCCCTGTAGCACAGATCACATTTGGAATATAATAAACATACACAATACTTTGTACAGAATTGCTCAGCTGCTTTCGTGAGGAAAATGAAACAGCAAATTCTAGATTGATTTATTGTTCTCCACCTGTTCATTTCCCATCTATTTTTTCCTCTCTTGAAGCAATATGCAGAGCATCATTGCAGGGCTTGTTGCCTAAGGATGGTAGATATCTTTAAGTTCTCAAGTATCTCCAGCCTATATTTAGATCATTAGAATCTGAAAGTCAGCTGCTTTTCAAGGCCTGTTGCATATACCTATAAGAATCAATCAAACTTTCTGGCCAAGAATTCTAGGAGGGGTACACAATTAAAACAAGAAACTCAACTTTATGCAGCACATAACACACACTTCCCATAACTGCCTAAATTCCTGAACTTAGAGCAGAAAGCTCATTAAAATTTCAGTAGTGTACTGTGGCAATGGAGAAAAAAAATCTCTTCTTCATTTTCCTTTAAATGTTGATCTACAGGTAGTTCTCAACTTACAACAGTTCATTTAGTTACCGTTCAAAGTTACAACGGCATTGGAAAAAGTGACTTATGACCATTTTTTCACACGACCATTGTAGCATCTTCATAGTCACATAATTTGCATTTGCATGCTTGGCAACTGACTCATATTTATGACGGTTGCAGTGTCCCAGGGTCATGTGATCCCCTTTTTCAAACTTCTGACAAGGAAAGTCAAAGGGGAAACCAGATTCACTTAACAACCGTTTTAGTTATTTAACAACTGCAGTGATTCACTTAACAATTCTGGCAAAACAAGTCAAAATGGGGCAAAACTCACTTAACAAATTTCTCATTTAAAACATAAATTTTGGACTCAATTGGGGTCTTTAGCTTTAATTTTGTTTTGTTATTTGTTACATAGGGCACCACTTTGAGAAAAGAAAAGCTGTGTTGTAAATAAATAGGATACTAGGAACTATATTTTAACATTAGAAAAAGGTAAGAGCAAAATATAAATGTGATTTTATAAATCTCTGGTTTGGTCACATCACATTAAAATTGTTATTCCAAAAGTTAAATAAAACCAGTCCTTTCTTTGATTGCCACCAAACAGTATTTCATATACTGTTGGACTGGCTAATCTCAAACTGTGTGTTAAAAGGAGAGGCCCAGAAAAAAAATGTAATCATAGGCTGTGAGTTTTTCTAACATGCTCAAGAAGGACAAGTAGTCCTTGATTTGCAACCACAATTGAGCTCACAATTTCTGTTGCTAAGTGAAACATTTGTTAAGTGAATTTTGTCCCATTTTATGACTTTTCTTGCCACAATTGTTAAGTGAATCATTGCAGTTGTTTAGTAACATGGTTGTTAAGTGAATTCTTTTACCACAGATAAGAAACTTCTGGAGTATTCGAATTATACAGCTAAAAAGCTTGGCAAACTAAAAAAAAATCTTTGCAGGTTATCCTTTAAGAAGTGGTGACAGGTCTTTATTAAAAATGTCACTCATTTTAACTTGATTTAAGTAAAGATTTAGAATAGAGCCTTGGTGGCGCAGCAGACTAAAGTGCTGTTAAATAGCACCAGCTGCCTGCAATTACTGCAAGTTCGAATCTCACCAGGCTCAAGGTTGACTCAGCCTTCCATCCTTTCGAGGTAGATAAAATGAGGACCCGGATTGTGGGGGCAATAAGCTGACTTTATAAAAAAGAACACCGCTTAGGGGGCCCGAAAGCCCTACTAAGCAGGTATATACAAAAGTAGGCTATTGCTTAATGCATTGTAAGCCGCCCTGAGTCTCCGGAGAAGGGCGGCATATAAATTGAACAAACAAACAAACAAACAAACAAACAAACAAACAAATAGCTAGCCTGCAGAATAGATTTCCCTTTAGATATCAAGTGAGACTGCTTATTCAGGTACATTGTACATCACATGGTAAGGATAATTAATTGAAGATTATTTCCACCAATATGCTGGAACTTCTTGGAGGCTTCTGCTGATCCAGATTGCTCTATGTTTATACCATTAATTCAGTGCATTTACTCACTTCTTAAATTCATTTCCCACAATACTTACTGTTTTACTTTAGCTATTCCTTAATGATTGCTAATACTTCTTTTCACAGTCTTAGCATACTAGCATTAGTATTACTAGCATTGATAATCCGTTATTGCATAAAAGGTTATTAGTTTCAGTTTATTGGGTATTTCCATGTGTTCATCGTGTAGTTTTGCTTGAGTGCACAATAAAGAGGCATGAGCCATTATATGTGGCTTTTACAGTTTTGACTGTATTTTGAAATATCTTATATCTGGAATGGAGATGATGGAAGATAAGCCACTTCTTAGACAGACCCTTATGTAAGTTTGCCTAGAGTCTAGACATTTGTTATAGACTCATCATAATGTTCAGAGCAAAGTTCATGCTGGGACATAACAGACAAAAGCCATGTGTGTGTATGTGTGTGCGCTCACAAATGCCTTAAAGACAGTGCTGACTTCTGGTGACTGCTTGGACAAGTCCCTGCAGTCTTCTTGGCAAGATTTGTGAAGTAGTTTGAGACAGAGGCCAAGTTCACTAAGCTGGCATTGTGCCTAAGGCAGGACTAGAACTCATAGTCCCAGTTTTTAGCTTGATACCTTAACCACCACATCAAGCTGGCTCTCACAAAAGTAATCCTTAATAAATAAATATAAGAGTCAGTACTGTACTGTAAATAAAAACTACTTGCTTATGAAGCCCAGTAAGCAATTGGTTAATTTGACTTCCAGTTAATAACTGAAGTGATGTGGACAGATTACAATGTTAATTAAAAACTTTAAAAAATTTCTAAAAACAGAAGAGTTAATAAAATGTGATGAAAATAAAACATGGAAAATTTACTATTCCTGAATAGAATGGAAGTTACAAGAAATGCTGATATTTTAAGGGATTTATTTATTTATTTTTAATCAGCATGAAGGCCTAAAGGTGGAGTTCTGGCCTCACAATCAGGAAGGAGGCTGTGGGTTCGATCCTAGGTAGCGACATATGCGTTAGGAAGGGCACCCAGCCAGTAAACGCTCAAGCTCCATTCAGTCGCCCTGACTCTACCCCGATACAAGGGATTACAGGGTCAGTATAAAAACATTTTTAAAGAAGGAATATTAACATCAGAAAGATGTTCCTGGTAGAATGCTAGCTTTTTCTATTCCTATGAGGTACTTCCTATAAATATGTTTTTTCTGTTATAAAGTCAGTTCAACTAATCACTATTGAATTTCCACCTGCAACATTCTATACAGTACATAACACCTAGAGTGCTTCAACCTCTGGCATAATTATGGCCTCCCACAATAAAATGTAAAATAAAAAGAGGTTTCATAAATAAAAAAAGAAAGGGTGAGCTTCCTGAACAGTTAAAGGAAGTATGGTAGAAAAGAAAAATGTAGGAATGGAATCTGCAAAGTTTCAGCTAGTAGAGAAGTTGGAAGGTCTAGAATTCTCATTCTGGTAATTCAAAATGAAAATATTCCTGAAATCTCAAGTAATTTTATTTGTGCTGCACAAGGAGAGATTCTTGGGACCATGGCAGGAACAAAGAGCTTGGAAAGAGCTGGAAACAACACTAATAATCATTGCTCTGGATAGAATTCTATATACATACACAAACACACATACACACACATACTTCAACTCTCAAGAAGTATGTTATCTTCATTTTATTCCACATGTTTAAACTTATGAACCTTTAGGAATAAGCAAAGGAACAAGATATGTAGATCACTTACTTTCAATGAATCTTTCGTTTGCTTCTTTTTGTTTACATTCCTTCCAACAGCTATCATTTACAGTACATGTGTTGTAATGTACACTGTACATTGTATTAGATGTGCCTAATATGCAGCTAATGCTCCATAATTTTAATAAAATACTTTCAACTGTTTATGATGTTTTAGTTTTTTTATCTAATCTAAAACATGTACATAGTTAATGTATTCAGATTTTTATATATGAACAAAAATGTACTTCAGGCTCTGCAAGAAAAAGGTTAATTAACCTTAAGATATTTCACTTTTCTCAGATGTATAACCTGCAATTTAAACTTGGCCATTAGATGTTTTTTCCCACATTTGTGAACCACTCATCTATCTCTAAGAGGGTCACTGAGCAGTGATCAAAATACAGGTAGTCCTTGATTTAAAACCATTTGTCAAATAATCAAAGTTACAACGGCACTGAAAAAAGTGACATGACCAATTTTCACATTATGACTGTTGAAGCATCGCCACAGTCACATGATCAAACTTCAGGTACAACAATCATGGCAGAAAGTTCTTAAAATGGGACATGACTCAATTAGCAATTGCCTTGCTTAACAGCAGAAAAATTGGGCTCAACTACAGTCATAAACCAAGGACTACCTATAGACCTAAATTTAAAAACCTCTGAAGACATATTACCATGTAGGCTGCTTCCTTTTTGATTAGTTCCATTCAAAGATTCCTTTTATATGTGCAGTCACATCTACAAATGATGCATCATTTTTGTATTAGCTAAATATTAGCTACATCAGTAAAATAAATTTGTTATATTGACCCTATGGAGAAACTGGGCCAGTCACTCTCTCTCAGCCCTAGGAAGGAGAAAAGGATA